ATATGTTAAAATATCCAGGATAGTGATGCACCAAGCCAGCTGTGCACCAGGACTTACTCAAGCTTCCTGACTCGGGAACCCTGTAACAGGAGCAGCGGGCCGCTTCCCGCAGCCCTGCTCCCAGCCACCTGGCTAGCTAGCTTATACCCCAAAATAACAACACACAAATTGTATTCATTTAAACACTGCCTGGCCCGTTAGTTCTAGCCTCTTATTGGCTAATTCTCACACTTTGATTAACCCATTTCTAATAATCTGTGTAGCACCATGAGGTGGTGGTTTACTGGGAAAGATTCAGCATGTCTGACCTGGCAGCTGGCTCCATGGCGTCTGCCTGACTCTGCTTTCTTTCTCCCAGCATTCTGTTCTGTCTACTCCACCTATCTAAGCTGATGTCCTATCAAAGGCCAAGGCAGTCTCTTTATTTGACCAATGAAAGTAACACATAGACAGAAGACCCACCTACATCATTTCCCCTTTTTCTGTTTAAATAAAAAAGAAAGGTTTTCACTTTAACACAGTAAAATTATATATACCAAAACAGATATCAAGCAAGAATTACAGTTACAATATTTATATCTATTTTATCTTTTATTATAACTAAGGAAATCTATTTATTCTTCAACTCCATAAAAAACTCCAGAAGGATATAATATTACTAAGTAAACAAGAAATAAGCAACTTCCAAACTCTAGAAATGATAGAGACATCTTGCTGTCTGGACAGTCACCCAAAGTTTTTCTGTACCGTTGGGGCATCCATCTTGATCCTTCAGGCCCATAGTATCCAGCAGACATTTCCATGAAGCAGGAACTTTTAAAGACAGTTCAGTCACTTTCTTCTGTATCCTGCAGAATGTCTGGCAGACTCTTTCATGAAGCAGGAACTCCGAAGGATCATCTCACCTTTAGGCAAGTTTAGCAGTCTCTCTCTGCGGATTTTTTATGTCCAGCTTATGCATCAGTTCAGGCAAGAGCAGTTTCTTGCCCAAATGGCTATCAAACTCTTAAGGAGCCTCTTCGATGCCCATCTTCCTCTTAAAGTAGATTGGTGCTGCCAGGAGCAGATGTGTCTCATTGTCATGAAAAGCCCTAAGTTATTTAAACATTAAATGCCATATTCTGTAGTCTTTGAAAGATATGAAGAATGCCAATCTAACTGAAATATATCTCTATATATCTAGAAAATCTAACTAACATGACAATAAGCTTGACTATGATCGATGATTATCCATTAACAACCTACATTTCCTAATTATACATTACATTTTAAAATGAACTTCACAATCACAATACCTTAACCAATATCAGAAATACATATACAAATTGACCTTAAAATCCATACCAACGCAAAATTATTCATATCTATATCATATCCCCCTTTAAATGTAAAAGAACAATTTATAAACAATATTTGGGAATATGGGCACAGTCATTTATCTCCAAACTTCTTCCTGCTGTATAGGGGCGCTATTAATCAGGTCTTTTATGGTATAACCTGTGTGCCAAGTTCATCTCAGTCAGCAGTTGAATGAAGTAATTTTTTTGAGGGTGTTCACAGCAACGTTTCAAGAAGGCATGGTCTATGATACCATATTGGGATAGAAGCAATTCACAAGGTCTCATCCTCTGTGAAAACAAAAGAAGAACCTCCTTTCCAAAGCATCATATTCTTAGATCCAAATTCTGAAGTCAAGATAGCTTTATAATACACATGTTGGATTAGCTTAGCAGAACACACAATGAAATGTCTCTCTGTATTTAGCTCCTTCACAGTCAAAAAATTGAAAGAAAATACAATATACAGAATCCAAACTCTCTGTGAATTTTCCATTTTTACATGGTTTATTTTTTTATTTTTAATCTATAACTATCTGTACTCTCTTTAAAGATTTTACCTTTTTTTAACATTAACTTTGTTTATGACTCTTTATACTCTTTTTTTCCTCTCTCCCAAGCCTACGTTTATCTAACAGTATGACCCATTTAGAGGTCTTTTATGTCTGAATCTATCCTATTGCATTGCCTGTCACTTTTTTACTGTCCAGGAGTACTTCTTAAAATGCTAAGCACTTCTTAAAAACTTAAGTTGCGCCATGTAGAGGTAATATGGTACTGCCTATTTCCTGCCCAGTCTAAACCTTAACTGCGCTGCTATTATGATAATTACAACAGTTCCTGCCTGAGATCAGCACAGTTCAGCAGGGAGCAGCCGGAGCAGCCGCTTCTGCCTCAGAGCCATTTGGTGCCCCTGAGCCGAGCACAGTTCCAGGCACACAGCTGTCACATTGCCATCAAGCAAGCCGTAGCACTTTACTTACAAAACCCCATCCAAATTCTCTGTCTCCCGCAGGAGACAGAGGTTGCAGTAGGAGCAAAGCCCAGAAAGCTGGCATTTTAAAACTGCGTGTCTTTTTTCCCCCTGCCTCCAAGTAGGAGCCACACTCAGCACTTTAACTCTGAGAATGAGCTTTTTATCTCAATTACAGTGTAATCTGCCAGGCAGAGCACTGCACAGCCTAGAAACATCTCTCTGTATGGCGGCAGAAATCCACCATGCTCTCCTGCCTGCCCAAGCCTGATTTCGCTGTCTGCCCAGGCAGGAAGAACTGAGCCAAGGGCATGGTCTCAGCTACTTTCCTCCCGATCCTGAGCAGACACACAAACACACCATAGCCGGAGTTTGCACCACCGGCAGGGCCCAGGAAGCCAGTGGCAGGGCCCAGGAAGCCGCGTTATAAAATGGTATGGCTTTTTTCCTGGTGCTGTTGCTGAATCAGGAAATATCTCTACAGCACACCCTAGCAAATAGCAAAAAGCTGTGTTAAACAATATATTTGTGTCTAGAATTGCTTTGAAAGCCCTCTCAGGTTTTACGTCGAGTTAGTTATCACGTTGGAGCGCCACTTGTAAAAGGAGCAGCGGGCTGCGTTCCTGCCTGGATCCTGGCTAGCTTACCCCCGAAATAAACACAGAAACTGTATTCATTTCAACACTGCCTGGCCCATTATATCTAGCCTCTTATTGACTAACTCTCACATCTTGATTAACCCATTTCTAATAAATCTGTATGTCACCACAAGGCTTACCAGGAAGATTCTAACCTATGTCCATCTTGGGCCGGAGCTTCATGGCGTCTGCCTGACTCTGCTTTCTTTCTCCCAGCATTCTGTTCTGTCTACTCTGCCTATCTAAGCTGCTGTCCTATCAAAGGCCAAGGCAGTCTCTTCATTTGACCAATGAAAGTAATACATAGACAGAAGAGCCACCTATATCAGCACCCAGTTTCTCAAAATGTGCAACACTCTTCACATTTTTTGTTTTGCAAATTTATTTCTGTAAACCACTGTTTGTACATACAATTTGAGACTTTTCTTTGTTTATTTGAAATGTGTTCATAATCATTCTCTGAAATACTTTTGTGGTGATTATTTTAGAATTCATATCAGTCCAGGAGGATAACTATATGATTTTCTTTGGGTTCACCTTCTTATTTAGCTTCTCTAAGATCACTAATTATAGGCTCAATGTCCTTTAATTATGGCTAGAATCCACTTATGAGTGAGTACATACCATATTCCTCTTTTTGGGTCTGGGTTACCTCACTCAGTAAAGCGTTTTCTATTTCTATCCATTTGCATGCAAAATTCAAGATGCCATTTTAATTTTTAGTAAAATTATCATTCCTCAACATAATTTTATACTAATCCTCATTCAAATGTTTATAATTATGTTGAGAAGGGATTTTCTTATGGTTGCTTTTTAATTGCAGTTCTATTTAAATAAACAAATCACAACAGAAAACTATTCCCTCTTGAGAGTGACTGTTGCTGATTTTCTATTCCTCTTTGTTATCAAACTTGATAGATCTGTCCAAACCCATTCTCCAGTTCTTTACCTTCAGTGTTCTCTTTAATCCACTGCCTTAGTCACTGTTCTGTTGGGGTGAAGAGACACCATGGCCAAGGCAGCTCTTAGAAAAGGAAAAGGAAGCATTTAACTGGGACTTGCTCACAGTTTTAGAGGGTTAGTCCGTGGTCATCACAGCAGGAAGTAGATGAGCCTGGTGCTGGAGCAGTAACTGAGAGCTTTACAACCTAATTCCCTGGCAGCAGGCAGATCATATATATATATATATATATATGCACATTCATATATTATTTATTATTTATATCATACATTATATATTATTTATATTATATATTATACACAATAAAATATATAATATATAAAATAATATTATATATTATTTAGATATGTGCATATATATGCATATTTTATAAATGTGTGTATCTATCATCTATCTATCTATCATCTATCTATCTATTATCTATCTATCTATCATCTATCAATCATCTGTCTATCTATCATCTATTGATCTATCTATCTATCTATCTATCTATCTATCTATCTATCTATCTATCATCTATCTATCTCTTGAGAGTGAGCCTAGCATGGGCTTTGGAAATCTCAAAGCCCATCTCTTCCTTTCTTGATCTCTAGTTTGTGGATGCTCTAGAAAACATTTTGTCTTCTCTTTCACATGCATGTCTTTCTTAGGTTCAACCCAATGTTTTCTTTGACATATAAGCTGAACAGCATTTTTGTTTCCTTTTTGGCGTTGAATGGACGTCTTCAACTTAGCATCCCCCAACCTTGACTCGGAACCCAGCTGTGCTCTTCCTGATGTCTGGGAATGCACACAGATAACAAAGTTAACTTAGTGCTGTAAACCAGGGCTGTGGAAGGAAGCATCACTTGAGGTGATATCTGAACGAAAATTAGAAGCCAGCTAGTTTTTAAGGGGGGAGAGAGAAAGGGAAGAGAGGGAGGGAGAAGAACGGGTGGAGGGAGAGTGAGAGGGGAGAGGGGGGATTTAACAGTCATTATTTCTTTTCCTATCCCCATTATAATTTATCAAAAAATTCTTTTTGCTCCACATATAAAACAAATCTACATACAAATTCATTTTCATCACTTCTGTTTCTGGTACCTTTCCAGGTCACTGTCACTCTTCTCTGGGTCAGCGCTACAGCTTCCAAAGGGTGCACCGGGAGGAGAGCAATGCTCGCTAATTTATCACTGTGTAAGTGAATGATGTATTTTCATCAGTCACAATAATGTTGTAGTAGGATTTGATGTACCTCTTTGTTCAGTAAATGCCCTTTAATACTTTGTATTACCATGAACTTCAAATCTCTGTAACTCTAACCCATTTCTCCTGCTGCTTTCTGAGTATCTCCATCCCACCTTTCTTCAATCTTACGTTGTTTTCTTGATGTACTCTAACCATGCCAACGAGCTTTGTACTGCGCAGCCATGTGCTCCTTCTGGTTGGGACAGCTTTCCCCAGTCTTGTTTCTGGTTGGCTTCTTCTCAGTCTAGTCTTGCTGCTGCTGTCTTCCTTTTGCTGGGCTTCAAGGCAGGGCCCGGCACACACCTGGGAAGCAGCAGCCGGGTCGAATGGATGTTTTCAGATGTAATCCAGACAGCTGCTCAGTCATGCCTGGAGTTCTCTCTGAGCAGCCCTCCCTGGCCCCGCAGAGCCAGCTTCACTACCTTCCCTTCTCTTACCAGGGCCTTTCCTTATAGCCTGTATTGCCACAGGGCATTTATTTACTAGGTTTCTTTATTATCTACAATGTCTACTACACAGTAAGATCCATGAGACATCTACATATGTAGCTGAGCTGGACAGCACTGTTGAATGAAGAGATCCATCAGTCCCTCAATATAACCTGGTTTTATCGGTGAGGACACTGGGAATCAGAGAGATGAGGTTGCTTTTGAAATTGGTTGCTGAGCTGCCTGAAATCGGTTGAACCCAACTGTATCCTGTGAGGTCTCAATCAGGATTAAAGTTTCCAGTGCAGCACTGTTAAAGGCCCCATCCTCCTTTTCCCTGCCCATTATGAAGGCAGGATTTGCTGCATGTTTATTTTTATTTTCATGTCTTTAACAATGATGCAAACTGACTGGCACTTTCCAGGGTTTCCCAGAGGGGACAGGAGCAGCACACCTCTGCTGGTCTCTCCTTTGAAATGGAGATTTTGCAACATCAGTCACCGTGCCATTGTTGGGCAACAATGTGTGCCTCGGAGTCAGAGAAAGGTTCCCACACTAGTTGCTTACCAGACGCCTGGCTGCTGAGCCCTGGTCTCCCATTACTCCTGGGCTTCTTGTTTCTTTTTCCTCCCTCTTTGTTATGTCATCTATTCATGACTGGGGCAAGATGCCATGCTATTCTTTCTCAGTTCTGGATCAGTCTGTTATTAGCTATTCTCCTTGGGTGCCCTATTCATGGAAAATGAACCACCCCAGTTGCAGTAGGTGAACTACGTGGAAAAGTTCAAGGCACGTTTTTCCTGCTTGGTTTGTGTTTCCTGTGATTCAGCAATCTTCAGAGGCAGCTCTTCATCATCTCAGCATCCTGGCCCATGTCTGTGGTCCAGGCCGGGTGGATGTTCTCAGAGAATACTAACACTACGTCACAGCAAGACAGCGCTCCACTAAAGTGAGCCTCTGTTGTGTTGAAAGAGCCTTTGAGACTAAGTTGAGGAGATTCATCACATGCTACTCAGGTCACCTGCAGGAGTGCTCCACACTTACTCTACTTCCTCCTTTATATCAGCAGCCCTCTCCCAGAGAACAAGGAACAGAACCTGATGGAAAAGTGGAGCTGGGTTTGTGCTGTTAGCTATTTTTAGAAGTCATCGGAGTGTAGTTAGGGTGCCCTTCCATCTGCAGAGCCTGCGTGGAAGATGTCAGGAAGGGTGTCTCTGCCTAACAGGTGCTGATTCTGCTGCCTGACAAGTAGTGTGTTCTCCCCTCACTCAGAAGCTGTGCAGACAGTCCAGAATTTACTTGATTAAGATTTTTCAGCTTTATAATGGTGTAAAAGTGATATGAATTTAGTAGAAACCATACTTCACATTTTCAATTTTTCTTTCTCTACTCAATATTACACAGATATAAAAACTGGCCTGTGTTATTAGTGTTATTTAGCAGGTTATTTAGTAGGTTACTTAGCTGTGTTATTTAGTAGGTAAAGTATATTCAATGAATCTGCACGTGTGTGAGCACGGCTGTGTGTGTGGATTGAATCCGCGTTTGTGTGTGCATGGCCGCGTGTGCAGGTTGACTCTGTGTGTGTGTATGCACTGCCACGTGTGTGGGTAGAAACCAGAAGAAAACCTAGGGTGTTGTTTTGCAGGTTACACTTACCCCCACTTTTGGAAACGGGGTCCCTCACTAGCCTAGAGCTTGCCAAGTAGACCAGGCTGGCTGGTTGGCCAGAGAACCAAGGTGTGCATGCTCTTCTGTCTCCCCAGCTCTGGGGTACCAGCCTGTGCCACCATGCTCCCCACCCACTTTTAAAGTAGGTTCTGGGGATTGAGTTTATGTGCCTTGTAAGCCGTTTACTGATTGAGCTGCCTCCCAACCCGAATGCATTTTTGTTTTTGTTTTTGTTTTCGAGACATGATTTCTCTGTGTTGCCCTGGCTGTTCTGGAACTCACTTTGTAGACCAGGCTGGCCTCAAACACAGAGATCTGTCTGCCTCTGCCTCTGAATGCTGGGATTAAGTCATATACCATCACTGCCTAGCTCTAAATTAATTTTTAACTTATGATATTTTAAGGTTTCAATTGGCTTATTAGCATAAACCCCATCATATCTAATATGCTCTCTCTATATGCAAATGAAGAACTGAGTCTGGAAGTACTTTAGAAATGCTGAATCATTAGGAAAAACAGAAAAGTGAAGGATTGTATCTTAAACTTACACACTAAGTATGTCCTGAAATTTTGTAATTGATACATAATAATTGTGCATACTTGTAAGGTACCGTGTGATAATTTGATTTGTCTAATGTTTGGATCTCCAAAGCTTATTTATTCCCTCACATGTTTGTCACTTTTTATGATGATAATGTATAAAAATTTTTCTTCTAGCTTTTCTAGTAAAATCTACAGCATATGAGATTAGGTATCATAATTTGTAAAGTATTTTAAATTACAGTGTTTCATAGTATTGATGAAAATGAACTGAGAGTGAAGAATCTGTACTCTGGAGGAAATCCGAACTCAAATTCTGCTACACATCTTGCATGATTTTTGACTTGAAAGAAGTTTCTTTCCCTTTTTGTTTCTATTTTCTATTTTCCTTATATGAAAATAAAGTTGCTAATAGGCTATACCATGAGGCTAGCATGGAGCTTCTATAATGTCTAAATACATAGATAACTGTTTGGTGTGGTTTGGATATATGGTAAGCATTTATAAGTAATAGCTCTAACTATCACTCCTAACGCCATGCACAATGCTGCGGAAGTAGAGAAAGGAAAATGGGATGTTTGCTCATGGAGAGCCTTTCTTTCAGAATTCCCCAAGCCCCTGCCTCTGCTCTCCTAGGCAGGCTCCTCACACAGTATGGTGGTCTTTTTGGAGGTCCTATGTCTACATTTCCCTCCCTAGTCCTATTTCTGAAGATGTAGGAAGGGGACATGTTACTGTGTGAAATTTACTGTCCCCTTACTCTTTAAAAATGGGCAAAAATCAGCCTAAAATGTATATGATTAGAATGATTAAAAAAGAAGCATGGAGGAGGGCAGAGAAAAAGAAAATGGAATGTGGAGACGCTAGTCTGCAAGGTAACTGTTTGCTCAGATGCATCCAATTCCAGTAACAGTGGCTCACACAAGACAAATGGTACTAGGACCAGTGTGGCATTCCCTTGTAGTGGTAGGAGCGTGGACCCCTTGTTCCATCCTGCCCAGCTCCTGGTGGCCCAGCTAGCTTAGCCCCGGAAATAATAACACAGAAACTGTGTTCATTTAAATTACTGCTTGGCCCATAAGCTCTAGCCTCTTATTGACTAACTCTCACATCTTGATTCAACCCATTTCTAATAATCTGTCACCACGAAGTTGTGGCTTACCAGGAAAGATTCAGCATGTCTGACCTGGCAGATGGCTCCATTGCAGCTATCTCTGACCCTTCTTTCTTCCTTCCAGAATTCAGTTTTGTCTACCCTGCCTACCTATGATCTGACCTATCAGGCCAAGCAGTTTTCTTTATTAATTAACCAACGAAAGCAACACATAGATAGAAGAACCTCCTACACCATTCCCTGGTCTTTGTAACTAGACTGTCCTTGAGCTTTGGCTTTAACCTCCCTTTTGGTGCTGTTGGAGTTGTCATACAGCATTCTTAGACATATAATCAAATAGGAAAGTGCAGGTTTCTCAGTGAAGAATAAGCTTTAGATAGCAACAAATTATTTTTTAGTATATCTAAAATTATATAGTACATATGTTTATGCTAAAAACTGTTTATGTGATATTCAAATATAAATACCTTTATTTAGTTACTTTTTTGTTTCTTTGAGACAGGGTCTTTCTACATAGCTCTGGCTGTCTTAGAATTCACCATTAAGATCAGGCTGGCCTTGAATTCACAGACATCTGTCTGTTTCTGCTTCTGAAGTGCTGGGATTAAGGGTATACACCACTTTGTCAGGATTTAATGAATCTTTATTTTTAATTGATAAATGTAACAGCCTGACTCTAGAGTGAGAGAGGAAGGTGCCCATTTTGTCTCCAACAGCTGAGTGTGTGTGTTTTAAAATCTACTTCTACTTGTATCTCGTTGCTTGTCCCTGCTGCAAGAGAGGCCGAATGAATGAACAAATAAAAGACAACTAATACTCAAGTTGTGGTTAATCTTCATTCTCTTTTTTTAAATATTTATTTTATGTGTATGTATGTTTTGTTTGCATACCAGAAAACGAATCGGATCCCATGGAACTACAGTTATAGATCGTTGTGAGCCACCATGTGCTGGAAATTTAATCCAGATCCTCTGTAAGAGGACCAGTGCTCTTAACCAGAGTCACCTCTCCAGTCCTGCTAATCTTCATTTTTCAACTGGACTGGATAGAATTATCTAGGAGACTGATGGGCATGTCTACAGCGTATTTATGAGGACGTTTCCAGAAAGGATCAGCTGCAGGGGAAGACACCTTGAATGCAGGCAGTGCCATCCCTTCGACTGTAACAAATGGATGAAGACGACAAAGCCAGCCAAGAGCCACTGTCCCTGCCTTTGCATCTTGGCCTGTCATGAAGGAAGGCTCTGCTCTGTCTCACCCATCACTGTGAGGCAAAAGGACTCCCTCCTCCTTCAAGTTGTTTCTTCCGGGTACTGTGGTCACCACAGCACGACACAATGGTACCTAACATGCAGTATGGAAGAGGTGGTCTGGCACTGACACCCATGCAGACTCCTCTGCCAGTGCTTTTGTCGGTGGATGGATGAGGAGATCACAGTCTCACAGGAAGTTAACTTGTTCTCAGCTGGAGCTTGGTTGGAATTCTCTCACTCTCCCCACCTTCTCTGTCCTGGGCTGTCAGCTAACCACAAAGCAACAATGACGTTCTCCTTTTTCCCCCGAAGATTTTTTCGCATATTATATCTTTTGTATATAAGGAAAATACAGAAAGGATTGAATTTTAAACATTCCTAGCCTTTTGTGGGTGTTGAAGTATTTGGGGCTAAATCTTGATCTGTGTGATGTAATTTCACCACCATCTTCTGAGATAAAATTGTAAAATACAAATAGCAACTTTAGACTAGTTTAAAGTAAACTAATAATATGGGTCAAAATGAACCTTCTAGTCTACCTTATTTCATATTTTCATGACTTTTTGTGATGTTAGTTTACATTAAAAATTACTTATAATAGGAATGAATTTACTGCTAATAAGTAAAGCAACTATTTTTAACAGGCGTACACACATGAACATACATACACATTTACACACAAAAGAGTAATATAAACTTTCTGTAGAAACTTTCTGTTTGGGGATGGGGAGAGAAGGGTTGAATTCAATCCCTAACACCTATGTGATGGGTGGAGAGAACCAACTACCACACAGCATTCTGACCTCCGAATGTGTGCCATTGCATTTATTTGCCCACACGCAAACATAAATACACATATGTTATATAAGTAAATGTAAAAACGATGAGTTTATTTCAGAATTTGTTAAATGTAAGAAAATTTCAAAAGCTAAGTTCTATACACTTGCCAGATAATGAACATCTCAACCGATAATAACTTTTTATCATATAAATGAATTTTGGCAGAAATACATTTTCAAAACAAATGTTCAACAATGAGGACACTAAGAGAGATTTACATAGATCTAATCTACATGGGAAGTAGAAAAAGACAAGATCTCCTGAGTAAATTGGGAGCGAGCATAGGGACTTTGGGGGAGGGTTGAAAGCGGGGGAGAGGCAGGGAGGGGAACAGAGAAAAGTGTAGAGCTCAATAAAAATCAATAAAAAAGAAATACCAGAAAAAACCTGATGGGATGGAAGTTATTACCTGCTATTAGGTTATATGAGTGTTTTAGTTAGGGTTTCTATTGCTGTGAAGAGACACCATGACCACAACAATTTATAAAAGAAAACAACCATTTAATTAGGTGACTTAACAGTTTCAGAGGTTTAGGACATTATCACCGTGGTGGGACAGGGTGGTGTGTAGATAGACATGGTGCTGGAGAAGGAGCTGACAGTCCTAGATCTTGTGCAGGCAACAGGAAGTGGGCTGAGACACTGGGCATGACTTGAGCACATATGAGGCTCAGAGCCCACCACCACAGTGACACTTCCTCCAATAAGACCTTCCCTACTCCAACAAGGTCACATCTCCTAATAGTGCCACTCTCTTTGGGAGTCATTTTCTTTTAAACCACCACAATTAGGTCACATAGTCAATTGATATTTTATAAGCAAAAGGAAGTCACATCTAAGAATAGGTCCATCCTCGTGGGTTCCTGGGAACTTTGAACAATTAACATCTATATCATATTGCTGTGAGTACCTGAACAACCCTTCTCGCTCATCATGTTTTATCTACCATCAGGGTATGTCACTTTGCATACTAGGTAATATATTGGGGACACACTACAAAGGCCTCTCATTATTGTCAGATAGCTCCTGCTCTTCCATTCTTGACTTTGTTGCCCATTTTTCCATCTAAATCTGCCCCCTGTCACACACACATTCTGCCCTAGGTCTCATTCACTCCAACTAACCTTGTGTTTTTACTTCATTTATCCCTGTTTCTTTCTGGGAACTTTCTGTTCTTCCAGAGTGCATCCTTTTTACCAACATACAATTCACACCAATTCTCTTTCATCTTAAAAACCTTTTCTCTATGCAAAGAACTCCTTTCTGTTCTTGTCTGATTTCTTGGCATTCTTTGGATGCTTAATCCCTGTCCTTCTAATGTCTCTTCCCAGGGACTCCTTACATCCTTGTTTCCCAAGCCCTCTCCCACCCTGGTGTCTTAGGGTTTCATTGCTGTGAAGAGACACCAATGACCAAAAAGAACATTGAATAAGAAAAGGGTTTCTTTGGCTTAACCTTCCACATTGCTGTTTATCACTGAAGTAAATCAGGGCAGGAACTTGGAGGCAGGAGCTGGTGCAGAGGCCATGGAGAGGAGCTGTTTACTGACTTGCTTCCCATGGTTTTCTCAGCCCCCTTTCTCATAGAACCCAGGACCACCAGTCCAGGGTCCATAATGAGTTGGACCCTTCCCCACTGAGCACTAATTGACAGAATACCTCACAGCTGGATCCCATGAAGGCATTTCCTTAACCAAGTCTCCTTACTCTGATGATTCTATCTTCTGCAAAGTTGACACAAACCAGCTGGTACACCTGGAATCTCCCTTTTGCAGTCTCAGGGTCACTTGCTACAATGCATACTCTCTCCTGAATGGTGTCAGACCCCTATGGCTGGTGGATAGAGTGCTAACATTGCACTGCTGATAAACTGAACACATCTCTCTACAGACTTGTCTGAGCTCCTGGCCAAAGTATCCAGTTATCTCACAGCTTCTGCACCAGCATGTTCAAAAGTGAACTTGAACGAGATATGTAATGTATGTTTTAAAGGTGAACTTGCTTATAGTGACACTTTGAATTTATAGGTTTCTACACAAAACTCCTTAGTGTCTAGCCATCTTGCTCTATGTAAGAACTACAGGCACCGGAATTCCCACAAGACTATATCTGCATCAGTGCTTTGCTGCTTTTCCTTGTCCTCCCCATCTTCCTCGACAAAGCACTCTAGCCAAACTGACCAGACCTGCCCTTCCTCTCTCGCATCTTCCAGCACTGGTCAGATACGAATGTTTTTAAAGGCTTCTTTCCCTCATAATTCTGAATAAAACTGCAGCTAACCCCTCCAGTCTAGCATTCTTTCCCTTTTCCTTATGTCTTTGTTCTTGTACTGATGTTATAATACATATTAAAATTTTCTATTCATTTCCCTTCATTAGACTATAAATTAAACATGGCAGAAGTTATTGTCTTTTTGTTGATTGGTTGTTGTTTTTATTGAGTCATTGCTTAAAGCAGAATTTAGGATCAATAAGTGATTGTGGAAAAAAAAAGTCCAACTCCAGATATGCTTGTTGGCGCTTCAGTCAATAGCACCCACCTGTTCAGTGCAGAAACCAAGGCTGGCTTTGACTCGGCATCTAACATCCACCTATCAGGATCCAGCTTCTCCTTACTTCCTACCACTTGACTGTTCCGGTTTATCCTTCAGATTCCAGCTAGACATCATATACTTTTGGTGAACTTTTTCTTCCTTTCTCCAACCTCTGACTGTGTTTCTTCCCATGGAGTAGTAAAAATTCATGATAATGCATGAATTCCATGTCATTCCCTGAAGAAATTCAGAGTCGGTAGAGAGGGGCTTAGAAATTAAGTGTGTGAGAGACAGTAACTGGCCCCAGAGATCTCCAAGAACGGCTGTCCTGTCCAAGATCCGCGACATCTGCACTACAGCCTGGAATAGAAACCAGAGTGCTGCTATCCAATGCAGTGAGAATTTATCTCACAGTTATCAAAGCAAACCAAAGGTTATCAGTGGGTTGGACGTTTAAAGATTAAGTACAGCTGATGGCACTCAACTCTTATGCAGGTAGCTTAACTTCAGTGGTTCTGGTCTCTCTCTAAAGGGAAAATGGAGGTGTTTATGATTCTGTATCATAATGGGTTCCAGGTGAGCCACTCTGGGCAGCTGAGCCAGGGCCTCTCTTCTTTGATTTACATGGCAGGATCCAGGCCATCCTTAAATTGAAAAGATACAGTAATGAGTAAATGCAGAAAGAGAAAAGGGAGAGAGAGAAAAAAGGAGCTGAGGGAAACCCTGGAGTGCTTTCCCAAGTCCAAAGTGAGCTATGGCTGCCCCCTCTGCCTCAGAGGGCTTTGTCATAAATTACTAGCTAATGCTTAGCACTGGGGCCCTGGCCCGTGGTATATCACAGAGGACAAGATGCCTCCGAGTAGAAACACTGTAGCTGGGGAGCAGTAACATCTGTGTCAGTCATGGGGCCATGGTTAAAGTGCGCTGAGAAGTTACAGGCTGTGCTGTGGATGAACAGTGGCAATAAGCATATTTCTCTTCAAAATGATGTCATGAAGACAGGGGACTCTTTAAATTCTTTGGTGTCATGATAACCCAAAGAACACTGATAGGAACTGTAGATTTCTATTTTAACATGAGCATACCTCCAGACAATTACAGTTTAGAAAGCATGAAGTCTGAGGAACTCAGAAAATGGGCTCAGTTTTAAGAGCACAGATTCTGTGTCACTGCAACACTGTGCTATATTGAGCAGGTCACTCCATCCCTCTGGGCCTTCTGATATGGCAAGGCCAAAGAATTCAGACATCGCAGAACCAGAGTCAAGTCCTGATCTCCTGGCTGTAGATCCTGTCATCTTCCTAGTAGACATATTTGTTTGTTAAGACATTTTTGTTTAAGTAATTACAGCAAAAGCAACTGCTTACACAAGGGCTGGCATGTGTGCAATTTATTCTGTGCTTAAACAGATCAAAGTAAAAGAAGCCTGCATTCTTGTACTATTCCGTTTGGAAGATTCTCTGGTAGATTCAGGTGGGGTGCTACACACCTGTGAGCTCAGAATGTGGAAGAGGCAGTCACAACTTTGGGGCCAATCTGGGCTACAATGGAACTGCCTCAAAATACAAAATAAAAATAAATTACTCAGTAGCGTGATAATACTTAAATTCAAATGATCAGGGGCTGGAGAGATGGCTCAGCGGTTTAAGAGCATTGGCTGTTCTTCCAGAGGACCTGGGCTCAATTCCCAGCACCCACATGGCAGTTCACAACTCTCTGTAATTCTAGTTCTAGGGGTTCTGATATCCTCACACAGAGTATATACAGGCAAAACACCAGTGTAAAATAAATAAACAAATCTTTTAAAATATCTAAAAGCGTTCAGGAAGTGCCATTTGAGAGTACTCTAAGGAGGTGGAAATTGACTTAGAATTCTCCCTATATGCTTTGTCTATGAGGCCCTGCTCAGTTCTGATAACTGATGTTTTCTGTCTAGTAGACCCAAAGGACATCCGTGATTTCAAGCACCCTCTTATTCCATAAGTTGACCAAGAGTGCCCCACTTCATGCCAAGGTCCTGCGCCTCTGGGGTGAGTCCTAAGCAGCCGGAAGTATGCTATCTCTTCTTCCTTGGCCCTTGTTCAAGCTAGCACAGGACTTGTAACTGCTGACCCAGGAGCATTGATGTACACGTTGAAGAGC